CACTTGGTAGCCCAGGCTGGCCTCAAACTCACAGAGATCCGCCTGGCTCTGCCTCCCGAGTGCTGGGATTAAAGGCATGCGCCACCACCGCCCAGCTGGTTTTTCTATGGTTTAATATATGATTGGCATCTGTGGGAGCCCGTTTTCAGGTTCCTCGTAGCTTTACCCAGCAGGTCCGTATAGAAAGGATGATTGGACCACTCGCCTGAGTGCAGGTGTCTGAGATGGTCTGCACTTGGCTGTGCTGGGGGGAGGTCTTTTGCTCCACCCCTTGGTGTCTCTATAAAAACCCTGGGGCCGAGCTAGTCAGGGCTCGTTGGAATAGGTTCCAGGCCCTCTCGAAGCTATCCTTTATTTTCTATCTGTTCATCTCCACAATATAAATCCTTCTATCTAATATTTCCTGCTGCTCGAACTCAAGAAAACTCTGGGGAGCTGTGGGGTTGGTGGGTAAATGCCCCGCCGGCATCCTTTTATTCTATCTCACCATCAGATTCTTCCAATTTTTCTATGTATTAAGCCACATTATTTTATTATATGTATGGATGCTTTACCTCTATGTATGTCTGTGTATTGTGTGTGCATGGTGCCCACAGAGGTCAATGGAAGTTATTAAAGCCTCTGGAACTTGAGTTATAGAAGGTTGTGAACCACCATGTGGGTACTAGGAATTGAACTTGGGTCCTCTGCCAGAGCAGCCAGTGCTCCTAACCACTGAACTATCTCTCCAGCCCCATTAAGCCACATTTTTGTTTTGTTTTTTTCGAGACAGGGTTTCTCTGTGTAGTTTTGGTGCCTGTCCTGGATTTCACTCTATAGACCAGGCTGGCCTCGAACTCATGGAGATCTGCTTGGCTCTGCCTCCCGAGTCCTGGGATTAAAGGCGTGCGCCACCACCGCCTGGCTAAGCCACATTATTAATGTAATGGCACCAATATGTTTGAAAAACAACAGCCAGGGAGGTGGTGGTGCATACCTTTAGTCCCAGCACTCGGGAGGCAGAGGCAGGCCTGATCTACACAGGTGGTTCCAAGACACTAGAGCTGTTAAACAGAGAAACCCTATCTTGAAAAACCAAAAAGAGAGAGAGAGAAAACAACAGCACAGTCAAGAGATTGTACCCATGAAGGATGGGTTTTCGAAAATGAACACTGCCATGGCTTTCCTTGCTCTCGCCCTTTCTGTGGTCATTGATTGACACAATCCTGTTACTCTTCCTTAACCCTTGCATTTTAGTAAGATTCTTGTCTTCTTGGAGATGTAATGGTTTCAAACTAAACTCCCTATGATACAGGGATTCAAACTCCTCTTCAACCAATAGATAAAACAGAAAGTCTCATGGTCCCTCTTGGCAGAGACTGTGCCCGTCATCAATATGGAAGTAGTTATAGAAGATAGATTGACGTCACTGTCTTAGCATGACTTTCTATTGCTGTGATAAAACACAGACCAAAGCCGGGCTGTGGTTTCTGGTGTCCGTTAATCCCAGTACTCGGGAGGCAGAGGCAAGCAGATCATGAGTTCCAGGCCAGCCTGGTATACAGAGGTAGTTCCAGGATAGCCAGGACTAAACACAGAGACACCTGTCTGGAAAAAAAAAACCAACAACAAAAACCAGCTACCAAAGGCAACTTGGGGAGGAAAGGGTTTATTTGTCTTACATGTCCTGATCACCATCTACCACTGAGTGAAGCCAAGGAAAGAACCAGAGGCTGGAACTCAAACAGGCCATGGTGGCAGTGGTCTGGACACTCCACCTCAATCATTAATCGAGAAACTGCCCCCACAGAGTTGCCTATAGGCCGATCTGGTGGAGGCATTTTTTTCCTATCGAAGTTACTTCTTCCCAGATGATCCTGGCTTGTGTTACATTGACAGACTAGCCAACAATTGACTCCATGTCAGCTTGACACACAAAGACATCATCACCAAATAACTTTCCCTCCTGTTTATCTCCAAGTTCTCATGTTAATATCACAATGCATTAGTTAACCCACTAAAGTTAACCACAGAGAAGGCGTCAAAGTGAGTCAGATGTATTAAAGAAGGAAAATGAAGCAATTTCTTCTGGGATTAGTTTGACCAAGAGGGAGCCCAAATCTCAACTCTCCACTTCTCTCCCTGTGTCTGTTACTACTGGTCTGTCTGCAGCGTGTGTCTGATGGCTCAGTCCGTCCCTAACAAAGTGCTTTATTCTGCTCCCCCAACTCTCCCCCCCAGGGTTTCTTTGTGTAGCTCTGGCTGTCCTGGAACTCACAGAGATCTGCCTGCCTCTGCCTCCCAAATGCTGGGATTAAAGGCGTGTGCCACCACTGCTTGGGTCTTTTTTTTTGGATAGCTAAATGGTAATGCCTTTAGCCTAAGGGAGCAAAACTAAATGGCTTCAAGCAGCTATGGTGGTTTGAATAAAAATGGCCCCCCTAGGCCCATAGGGAGTGGCACTATTAGGAGGTGTGGCCTTGTTGGAGTAGGCGTGGCTTTGTTGGAGGAGATGTATCACTAGGGATGAGCTTTGAGGTCTCAAAAGCTCAAGCCTGGCCAGCGTGTCACTGTCACTTCCTGCTGCCTGTGGATCCAGATGTAGAACTCTCAGCTCCTTCTCCAGCACCATGTCTACCTGCTGCCATGCTTCCCACCATGATAATAATGGACTAAACCTCTCAACTGTAAGCCAGCCCCAATTAAATGTTTTCCTTCGTAAGAATTGCTGTGGTTGTGGTGTCTTTTCACAGCATTAAAACCCTAGTGAAGACGGGTTAGTTCTAAAGGTCAGAGCCTGGAGGCAGCCACCCCTGTGTTAATCATTAAGTTTTTTTGCTATTGTCTTTGGTCATTTTACATTGCAAGTCCTTGTACCATTCTAGTTCTTAAGTACACGGTAAAGGTTAAGAGAAAGACACAACATGTCTTGTTATTTTCCTAGCCAATTTAGCATTGCCCTTAGGTTTTTCGAAGGCAGAGACAGTTTGTGTCTAGGGCATCTTCACACACCCAGCTAGAGAGCATCTAAAAGGACCCATGGGTCCATAGACAAGCCAGGTGTGAGGGAGGAAATTTTCGTTTAGCAGCAGTGTGGTAAGAGTCCCCATCACTGCCCAGCAATTGCTTCCTCCAGGAATCCCAGCACTGAAAGTGTAAGACAGAAGTTAACAACTGCGATACCATTAGATGTTATCATCCATCATCAGTTAAAACGGGAAGAACTTGGAAACACGTAGAATTCATTCTGTTGAGCCCAATGAGGTTCAAGTGATAGGTGGTTTCACTGCCAAGTTTAATGCCAGTTTGTGTTCTAGTCGTCTGAATAAAAGTCAATGTACCAAACTTTTTTTTCCCTTAGACACAAATTCTGTTTTATGGATCCAAGAGACATTAAGCTGCTAAAACACATGCTTTAAAAATTGAATATGGAATAGCTGTCCTCCGTTTCTTGAGGGAGAAAATGCACTGTTTAAACCTTGCTTACTCATAATAACCCAAATTTCCGGAAGGCTTATGCTTTTGGAATTGCTCCAAATCCTGAAGAGGGGAGGTGGGAAGGGAAATGGGAGGGAGACAGGGACAATGAACCAATAGCAAGGAAGCCAGCTTTGCAAAGTAGACCTGAAGCCCTAGCAACACCGAAAGGAGGCTTGGAGCTTACATCTGATTGGCTTACCAGCAAGGAATGCTGAGCTCTGATTGGCTGGTGATGATATCTCCAACTAACCAGCCTTTTGCAGGGAAACAAATTTGTCTGGCAGAAAGGACAGGAGGTAGAAGAAACAGGCCAGAGGGAAGAGATCGCCCAAAGGTGGCGGGTTTTTGTAACAGTGCTGGCAGTTGAGATGAATGAAATCAAAAACACCGATTTTTGTAACTGCTTACTGTTTACAAAATGGGTTACTTATAATTACTGCGCGGGTCTTCAGAACGACCTTCAAGGCTTCCGTAGTTAAAGACATTCCCCCAGGTTATACTGCTAGTAAGAAAGACAGCCTGGGTATCTTAGCGCAAACCCAGGGTCGTTGGCACTATCGAATCTCTGGAAATAGCAATTTGGAGTTATTCGGAGGGACAGAGAGCAAATACTCTG